TCCAGCGTATGTTGGCAATTTGATCTCTAGTTCCTCTCCCTCTTTGAAATCCTGCCTGTACTTCTGGTAGTTCTCGGTCCACATACTGCTGGAGCCTAGCTTGTAGCCAAAAAGCATAGGGGACAATATAGAACCTTTGAGGAATCTTGTAAGCCAGTGGCTGAGGGGCCAAGCAATATTCCCTTAATAGCAGATGCTGGAAATGTTCAGCCAGAAGATAGTGGAATTTCTGCAAAATCGTTCCCACAAGTCTTTTATCAGCTGTCTCGGTTGATGGCACTGGAGGCAGCAGAAAAGTCCACAGAATGAACAAGAACATGTTCCCCCATCTGTTTCCCTGTATAAGATACTCCTCAAGGCAACTAAAGTTTTATCCTTCCTGTCTGCAAATGTTATACAAGGTGAAACAGAACTCTGACATATGTGTAAAGTTTCTATTTCTCTTTGTGCATGATTGAGAGGTTTTGTATTTGAAACAATTGTTACGGTTCTAAGAAAATACTTATTTCTTTTCTCCGAAGACAAAACCCGGGCTTTCTGCATTGGCCTAGATCATGTTGAAATGCATAATCAGGGGGATTATCAAAGCAGAAACACAGACTAAGGACTGGTGGGCACACCTGGTGACTCATGGCATTTGAAGAAAGCCCGATAAACCTTTGTGCTGAGGCAACGGCATTTGTTCATTCACAGGCACTGAGACATGAAGTCAGTCCCTTGCTTTAGCCTCTCATGACCCACAAGCCTTCAGAACTATCTGCATGGCAGGAAAGGTGCTGGCTGGTCAAACACAAATTGTATACTTAAGCTGTCAAAGCACGTTGGAGGAACTGGAGCATGTAGTTGGCACCAGCAATCTCCTCTGCAAAATAAGTATTTTGGATCTCTTTAAAGCTCTGCTGATCTGGGCAATGTGTTTGCATCCCACCCTCATTTGAATTGTAGTAACTGGTTATGTCTTGATATTTTGCCCAGATTTGATAGGCAAATGTATTGGAGAAGAGGCAAAATACGAAGGCGTGAGGCTTCTGTTTGATGGATTCCAGCAACCCGTTCTTAACAAACAAGTAGGTGCTCTCAGGAGACAGGCAGCTTTCTGTGGTGTTTCACTGACCCCTTTCTCATTTCTTGCCCATTCTGTTCTGGCCACTACAGCCTAGCTGTGAAGTGCCTTAGCGGTGGTGCTCCAGGGAGCTACAACAAAGGTGCAATTAACTACCTGTCAATTTCACCTTTGGCAGGCACACAAGTAACAGACAATAGCTATTTTTAACACTGTGTCACCCACGAATCTACCCAAGTCATTTCAAGGTGGGATTGGCAACAGCAGTGGCCTGCTGCAGTTTCTAGTACAGAAGCATCCAGTACCAGCATCACTTGGTGCCTGTGCCCTTGATGTTACCCCAGTTGTGGAAGGATGAACCACTTTCTTGCTGCTGCTCACTGCACTCCCTGTGGTTAATAAGGTTTATTTCTTGAGATTTGCCTGAGTGAAGGTGCTAGCTTGCAGTCAGTTCTTTTCCTGGCGTGGTGTAGGATGTGTCAAGGATAGATGGAGGACAAGTTCTGGTTTTGTTTCTGCTACAACAGACCCTTCTGAACTAAATAGTTTAAAAGCAGGGTTGGAAACCAAAAGTCAGCAGATTGGATTGAGCCCAGAGGGCCTCTTTATTCAGCTTGCCAGCCACTTCCTGGGCGTTGCCCCCCTCTCCTTAGTCCCTCAGAGGGTGGCAGAGGAAGAGAGTAGGCAAAGGTAGAGGGTTTTTCTGTTGAGGCTTTCCTGGCCTTCCTATGAAGCCAGAAGGGGAGTGAAGAAAAGCCAAAATGGTTTCAGACATGAACAAAAGGTACAAGAAATGGCTAGGAAGTTGGAAAGAGAAAAAAATGAAGGGGTTATCATGAGCAACCGGCCTCATGCTGTTCCTTTGCAAAACACTATTTTTTCCAACCATAAATCATCCAGACAAGTCTCTGAATACACACAAAATGGTTTCTTAGTAATCTAACAATTACTTCTCAAAACACTACTTAGAAGCTCATTTGTGTTGCAGCCCTCAGGGAGGGATGCTGTGGAAACATGCATGGCTCTTTTCGACACACTTCTCTTCTAATTGAGCTTCTGATGCCTAGCCATGGGAACCAGCTCCAGGGGGAGAGGCTGATCTTTGTCTGAGGATTCCCCAGTCTTGGCAGCCCCTCTCTCTGGCTGCATCTCCATGCTATTTCCCAGGTCTTTCTGGCCCACCACCACATCTGTCCTTGAGCTAATTGCCTCCGCTTCCTCCCTTGTTGTATCCCAGAATCTTGAGCAAACTCTTGCTCTTCAGGCCATTAAAATGTTCTTTTTCAGACTCTGGATCAGCATAATTGGTGTGACTAGTGTCCCACAGGAACACTTTGCAAACCCCGTCATGCTTGCTCTCAGCAGGGGTGGGGCTAGCACCCAGCAGGACAATTAATGTGGGTGAAGTATAGCAAAATGGTGGGCTGAGAGGAGGAAAATGAGAGAGGTGAGAGAAGCAAAGGTGCAGGGAAACCAGAAGCACAGGGGAGCAGAAAGAGACTGAGAGTGGCATAGAGAGAGATGAAGGCAGACAGTGGAGTGAGGCATATGGAGCAGCAGGTGGAAGCCCCTGGAGGATGCACCAACATAGTAAGTCACCTGTGTGAGTTCAAAGATGACCAGTTGAAGAACCCCAGTGACAGGTAAACGACATGTTTTTACTGGGCAACTATTGCAACTCCATCTTTATTTTTAACATTTTTCTCAAATTTAATATGGCTTTGAAAGTTATTTCAGTTTGTTTTTGGAGTTCTTTGTTGACATGTGGATAGTAATTCTTTTGATCTGCTTGTTAAGTACATGCATGCAGGCACAGCAGATTACAAATGTCTTGCCTTTTTCTTTTTTAAAGTTAACTTATGTTCTACTGGATATTGGGATTCAGGAACTATTCCCAGAACTGAAAGAGGTATGTCATGACACAGAGCTCTTGTTCTAACTTGTCTAATTACTGATGTAATTTTCCTGCTGGTGCCGGCAAGAATATTTCATATGTAAGGATTCCTCATTCTGTACACATGCACCTGTGCCTGTTTTATACAGTTCTAAGAACGCCTTAATTTAATGGGTGTATGCTCACTGCTGCAGAATCCTGTGGAGAGGCTCTCAGCTTTCTGCAATGACATGGTGATTGCTCCCAGTTTATGGGGACATTTCCTTGCACAAGTCCCATTGAAAGGAATGGAGCGGCACAAGAGTTTTTGCATGGTTCCCAACCATTTCAGTGGGGATCATATGGAACCTCCTGGTAAATTGTAATCCTTGATTCATTGGTGCATAAATGCAGACATGTCTTTAAACTTTTGTTTCATTAGCTAGTTTGGAGCTATTTTTTGGGAATTTGGTAGAATGCTTTACCTGTCACCATCCTGAAAGTTGTCTTTACTAAATATGCCTATGGCAATATTCACCAATGACACTTGTATATTAAAAAAACAAACAAACATTGTTCTGAACTTATTTTAGTTGATACTAAATAATAATGTATTATATACATTGCTCTGTTTGAGTAAACTAAATTACAGATATTTTCTTTCCCACCCCTTCCCCAATATTGTTTTTCAGGTTTAAAAGGCTGCTTCATCTGAATCATCATGAATGTCAAACATCAAAACACTAAATTAACTCTGTTGTATAGATGGCTGCTATGTGCTAATTTAATGAGTAGGTCTCTCCGTAGTCTTGTACATTGCTTGTATATAACATTAACTTTAATTTCAGAAAAAAACTTTACTCGGAGATTGATTAAAGGTTATTATTGACTGAATTTCATGTCCCTGTTGTCTGTTTTTCTTTTAAATAAAACTGTTTTTGCTGTCTGATATAAAAATATAAAAACAGAATATGAAAAAAAAAATCTTTTGAGAAATTAAGATCTTGTGAAGGACCAAAAGTGAAAGAACATTCACATTGGTTTTGAAAATTACTGCATAACCACTTTTACTTTCAGATTTAATGCACCGTGGTTTGTGCTATCCATGAGCCAACCATGGGGCTGTTACGTTCTGTCAGATGCTATCCTAACCAGCAGTCTTTGGGGCTGAGCTACATTGAAAAGCATGGTATGTTGATTCAGAAATGTAACACATAGTTTGCTAACTAGCTTTAAATCATGGTTTCAGATCCTGGGTCAAACATTACCCACAAGATATGTTTTTTCAGCTGCTTCAGATGTCACATAAATAGTTTAGCATTATATGGAAACTGCAGTTATATAATCAAACATCATTCATATTTGTCTCTAGCTCAACTGTTTGTAGCTCCTTGTTTTATCTATGTGGTGAATCAACTTGGAAACGGTGCTTAAATGACTCTAAAAATTTGAATGTATTTTCCTTTCCATGAATTTCTGAGCTTCATTAATCTACATAATGTCATTCATACACCAGGATCTAGAAATGTTCCCCTCAGATAAATTGTATTTAATTCTTGATATAAAGACACCTGAGTTGTACATACCATTTCTACTTAGCCCACTCAGCCTATAGTCACAATGATGGGAGGTGTATGCCAAAACATCAGGAGTTGTGGGGAAGGCTAGTTCTATTCATTATTCCTATGTCCTCCTGTCTTGTCTTAGTAGTAATGGACTGAGCTCATAAAAACCATTTGTTTTCATGGGATAATACAGCTTTTGAGGTAATATAACCCCATATGATATGAGGTAGAATACCCACTCAGACAAAATACTGTGTGGTGATGCTTGATCTGTTTTGAAAGGAATAGAGCACTCACATCTACCATCATAAAGGCACACATTTTCTATGTAGATAATACAGGAGAAATGATTGCTTAATCAAAAGCAAAAAAAAAAAAAAAAAGTATGCCCAACCCAACTTCTCAGTGAGGAGTGCAAATTGGTAACAGATGACAAAGAAAAGGCTGAAGTTATCAGTTCTTACATTGGCACAGTCTTTTCCCAAAAGCAAATCTATAACCCTTCTGGCAGAAATGAAGCAAAAATTGAAGGGTCAGGATTGAAGCTTGTGTTTTATAAATAAATGATCAAAGAAGAACTAATTCGTTTGGATGAGTTCAAATCTCCAGGGCTTGATGAACTGCATTCCACAGTAATAAAGGAACTGGCAGAAGAAAAACCACTAGTACCTTTGAGAAATCATGGAGGATGGGGGAAGTGCCAGATGCCTCTTGTTGTCCCTATCATCTAGTTCCTGGGAACTACAGACCAGTTAGTCTAACATCAACTCATGGGGAAATTCTGAAGCAGATAATGAAGTCAGTATGTAAGCATCTTGAAAGCAATGCAGTAATTACTAGAATCCAACATGGATTTACCAAGAAGTCTTGGCAGTCTACTCTGGTCTCATTTGATTGGGTAACCTCCCTTGTGGACTGTAGGAATGCTGTGGACATAATATATCTTGGTTTCCAAGAAATTATTGACAAAGTGCTCCATGACATTCTGATCATGAAACTAGATAAAAATGGGCTATATGGAACATCAGATCCACAATTGGCTACAGGACTGGACTCGGAGTGCTTCTCAGTGGCACCTTCTGAGATAGGAATGGTAACAAGTGAGGCTCAGTCTGATACTAGTGCTCTTTAAAACTTGGCAAAAAGGTACAAGGAATGTTTATCAGATTTGCAGATGACACAAAAGTGGGTGTGTGGCTAATACTTTGTAAGACAAGCAGAATTCAAAGGCATCTTGGTAGGCTGGAGTGCTGGGCTGAAAGCGACAGAAGGAAATTCATTAGGGACAGATGCCAAGTTCTACATGTAGGAAAAGGAAACTAAATGTATGATGGGAGATACTTGGTTCAACAACACTTCAAGTAAGAAGGATCTTGGAATTGTTGTAGATCACAAGTTGAAAATGAGCCAGCAATATGATGTGGCTCCAGAAAAAAAGCAAATGGTATATTGGGCTGCATTAATAGAAGTATAGTTTCCAAATCACGTGAGGTGCTGGTCCCCCTTTATTTGGCACTAGTTAGGCTTCATCTTGAGTACTGCGTCCAGTTCTAGGCATCACACATCAAAAAAGATGCAGACAAACTGGGCAAAAATCAGATGTGGGCTGCAAAGATGATCAGGGGATGGAAACAAAGCTCTTTGAAGAGAGATTGAAAGAACTGGGCAGGGTTAGCCTTGAGAGGACTGAGCTGAGATACGATAGCACTTTTCAAATGTGAAAGGCTGTTGCAAAGGAGAGCCAGAATCGCTTCTCAGTCATCCCAGAATACAGCACAGGTAATAATGGGCTTAAGTTTCTTGGAAGTCAGATTCCAGCTGGACAGCGCAAAAAACTTCCTGACAGAGCAATACAGCAATGGAACCAACTACCTAGGGAGATCATGGGCTCTCCCCACATTGGAGTCATTCAGGATGCAGCTGGACGGCCACCTATTGGGGATGCTTTAATTTGGACTCAGTGGCTTTACAATTCTATTATTCTATGCCCATCCCGTTCACTTGTTGGGTCCTCCTCACAGGTCCTTGATGATGTTGGAATTTTTCTTCCCTGCCCCCACTCAAATGCTGTTCTATGGTACAAAAGCACACCTAGAAGACAGAAAGGGTAGTAAGGCAAGCCAGGAGCTCCTGGAAGGTAATTTAGAATGCCACTGAATGTTTACCTAATTAGACTAAACTATTTAGTCTTTTTCATAATACTTTGCAAAATGCCCACTGGAATCTGATTCCTTTTATTTACAGGTTTGGTTTTTAAATGTTCTAAAAATCAAATATCTATACATGGATTATATACATGGTTCAAGCATTATACATACCAAATAAATGAAGTCTTAAATCAATGTAAATACATTTTTCCAGCTAGTTGTAGTAATAATAATTTACATACTTGCCTTTGAGAATCTTGGAATCAATGCATGCTTTGTGATTGTGTGACTACTAACAAAGCGCTAAAATATGGGAGATGTCTGAGGTATTCACAGCAGATGAATTTTAAACAACAAAGTACAGAAGTAGCACAAATAATCCAGAGAGCAAATAAAGATGTCCTTGGAGTACAGTTCCAGCAGAAAACATCACACGGCCTTCAACAGCTGGAAATACTCTTCCCATTCTAGTGATATAATTGGAAACAACATCAACATCAAGATCACCTGTTTAAAAAGAAAGTGCATAACTATGAAAAGACCCTGCTTCCATTGGTTGGCCAGTTATCAACAGTTTCAACAGCTAATCTATGCCAGGTGGATTTTACACTTGTGGCTTGCCTGTTGTTTTGGCTCACAACTTCTATAAGCATTAGCCAGCACAGCCATTGGGAAGGAAACATGGGAGCTGAGGACACAACATTTGGCGGGTAACTAGCTGGCTGCCCATCCTTAGTGTGAAACAATGGCTGTGGAATGTTCTGGACATAGCGACTTGGTTGTGTTGGCCTTGAAAGAGAATGTCTTGCACCCTTTGCTGTAGCGCTCCAAGTATTTTTGAAGTTCAGCTCTCAGAATTCCTGGCCCATGCCTATGTTGGCAGTGGCGTCTGGCAGTTAGAAGTCCAGTATATCTGGAAATCTACCTTCTGTCTATTTCCTATTCCTGTCCTAGTGTAAGTTGTTTTGACATCAAATTAGTAGTAATGTACTACTGTATTTCACTTCTTAGCCTTTCTGTTAGAAAAGACCAAAGGAACTTACAGCAGCAACAGTGATTTACAATGACTAATTTATTAATTTATATCTTGCTCTTTTTCCCCTTGCAAAGATCCAAGATGGCTTACAGGGAGGCCCCTCCTTTCTGTTTAATTCTTATGACAACCCTGTGATGTAGGTTTGTCTCACAGTTCGTGCTTGACCCAAAATCTCTCAGTGAGCTTCATGTTCCAGCTCCAATTTATTTCTTACACAAAGCAAGCTCAAATGGGAGCCAAGCAAATTTCACTAACCAGTCAGTAAAAGAAAACTGTCTTAATGACACACTGAACAAATGAATGAAAACTCTTGCTTGTCCTGGAAGCCATGTGGAGCTTGAAAGTGCTAGAAAGTGGCACTTGAAAAAATTTTCTTTGTCTCAAATGTGTTCTTGCATGCTTGCTATGTTTTCTTGAAGAACATTTCTTGAAATGGTTTCTTGCTTGCATTTCATTTCTGCACTTTTGGGAAACATCCAAAACCAACCTGACTCAAATATTTCTTGTTGCAGATTGAATGGGAAATGGTGGAAAATATCAACTTGTATATTAATATTTTCCACTGCAGAAAGTAGTTGCTGACGGGCATATTAATGCTAATATAGATCCATGAGCTTGCCCATGTACAGAGTGTCAGGATGGTTCATACTTACCACTACTGTGGTTACTGGGGGCTCCCTTGAGCATGTAATATCCGTCTCCTCCTCCAGCAAGAAAAGAAGGTAAAAGCACTTTGTATGTTTTTTCCATCTGGATTGGTACATAGACAGGAACTCTACAGTCTGTGCAGAGGACCTTTAAGCTGACCACTCTGCTTCCTGGCTTCTGAGTGAGGTCATACAGCACCTTTATGCCTGTGGAGAAATGCAAGTTCAAGCATCAGTGAAAGGCAGCACAGAGAACTGGGAAGTTCTTGAGTGTCTTTCTGCCTGCAGCTGGTGTGGGTTTGGTGGCTGGAACTCTTCTGCATTGGGTGGGTGCTGAAGTTAATTTTCTTCATCCTCAGTTTATACATTTTTGGTAACTGGACAACCTCCACTACAGGAGCCAGGTGTGGTCCCAATGGCTGCCATTTTGTGATGGTAATCACAGCGCTTCCTCAAAATGGCTGAGGGCCCCTGTAGCTGATGAGATGAACGAAGGGGCTGACTTAGGTTAAGGCAGATGCACTATCATAGCTACAACTATGAATTTAAAGCTGAATTATATAGGTAACCTGTACCCTGCTTCAAGCACTCTCTGTGGAAAAGTAGTACATGAGGATGTTTCTTTAAAAAAGGAAGTTTCTCTATAAATGAATAATTAGTGTATAATTGACAATTAAGGCCAGAAAATGGCACTGACACAGGTCTTTATGTGTACTCCATAGCATGAAAGTAGTGGGGAGGACATGCAGTTATTGCCAATGCAGCCAACTCCATTGACTGCTTTCCTTTGGTAAACACACACTGTGTTTACACAGAGGTAAACACAGAGGCATCACTGTGCCACTCAATTTGCTGTTGTACCCTGACCAAGGATCTCTGTAAGCAGGTCTTAGGGATGCCCTACTTAGCCCCTTTGAACAGTATTCAGTTCTACAAAGGAGTTTTCTATTCCAGAGTGTGAGTAATGCAAGGCAGGGTGAAAAATGACTCCACAGACAACTTGAGTTTTCTGCTATGTGCCTGTGGTTGGCTGGGGTAAAGATATCCATGCTGGAGGCTTCACAGAAGTCTGGCCCCATAAATGGCTTCCAGCAGGATGAGCAAGCCCCGAACTATGGTCCACAAAATGGTGGTTTGTGTGGTAAAGCAAGCCCTGGGTGGATCTGTCTCACCCTGTGAGGATGAAACTGGTCTCCAGAAGATACAATGCTGGGTGGCTTCTTGTTTTGAGAGCAGCGGAATATAAGTCTTCTCTGAGTATTTTCTGTCAAGAAGTAGTTTTGAGGGACTTTGAATTGGTAATGCAGGCAAGGTGACTTACCTGAAACTTGTAGCAGTTCCCCTGTTCCTTGCCCGTGTCTGTGAACACTGTGCTCAAAAGCTGCTTTCAGCATGGAGCCTTTGATCTGTAGCAGGTCGAAAGTGCCTCCAAAAGGCAAAACAGACAGCAGCTCTTCTAAGGTAATAGTCCCTGAGAGAGATGAAACATGTATTACCAACTGATCTGTCTTGCACATTGTAGTTGTCCTTGTTTTAAGACAAAGTACTAGCTTAAAACAGGGCAGCTAGTTCAAGCCCCTGCTCAGCAAGGGAACTCAGTGAGAATCTTACAGAATAGTGCAGGCCCCAGACTTGTTGCAAGCAATATGCTGTGATCGTCCTCTCTACGCTATCAGAGAATTCTTGGAGAAAGGGGAGAGTAAGTATGTTTTAAATCTATGTGGCCTTACTCTACTATATTGCTTGGCTTATGGTATAAAATTCAACACCAAAATAACAATTGAGAACAAGAACAATTAAGCTAGGCACCCCTAAACTACTTGAACTGGTAGGCATATTGGCCGGCACAAAATGGCTGCCATGGAGCACAGGGTGGCTTACAAAATGACTGCTGTAGTGGACATGGTCATCAAAGCCCACATATTTTGCAGAAGCTAAACAGTTAAGGCTGAGACAACATACAACCCACACAGAAAACACAAAGCCACCTTTAGTTCCTAAGAAATCTCTGAGCCCCATGTGACACCCAGCACTATTAATGGGAAATAAGGCCATGGTGCTTGGAAATTCTTGCTTTGTTCTGAGGCAATCACAACCACCAAGAAGTAAAAAGGTACATTATTTTTAAGCAGTAGGCCTCTGGATACCAGGTCACTGTCCAGTTGAGAGATGCACTGAGAGCAGTTGGTGCTGCGTTGATAACCCATTAAGGCGGGGTGAAATATGGTAAGGACCAGCAGGGAGGTGTGGGGATCACAGCAGCAGGACAGTCAGTGGCAACAAAGGGGAGTAGGTCTGGACATGAAAAACCACTCAAGGCCTAACAGAGGAAGGGCAGATGCCACCTGAGGCAGGTGCCTTGGGGTCAGAGTTCCAAAGCAGCAGTGCCCCCTCAGGAAAGGCTGATTTCCAGTAGCCATCAAGCTAACCTCTAGAAGCAGGGAGCAAAAGCCGCCCTGAGGTTCATGCGATGGGGTGGCATATAAGTTGTTTAGATAGATAGATAGATAGATAGATAGATAGATAGATAGATAGATAGATAGATAGAGAAAGGAAAGGAAAGGAAAGGAAAGGAAAGGAAAGGAAAGGAAAGGAAAGGGAAAAAAGGCTTTTCTGGAGAAAAGCCCTGAAGTGGCTGTTAGTGCAGGAAGCCTGCACTGAGCAGGTCTGGGGTGGCTGCAAAACATCTCGTGGAAGGAGGGGGCTGTTCTCCCTGGTGTGGTGCTGCTTATGGTACGGATCATGGCTAACACGCGGAGGGTGTTCCTAGGGCCAGGGCTGTATGTGCCTGCCTCTAGTGTCCAGCAATAGATGTGAGGCACCCAGAGAACATCCACTCTGGGGTGGCACAGTCACATAATAAATTCCCAGATGATAATCGTATGAATGCTGCACTTTGTGGTCCCATGTGAAGAGGCTGGTCTATGAAAGAGTTAATCATCAGATCGATCTTCTGCTTTTCAAAAGCCAGAAAATGTTTGCATTGGCTTTAAACATACCTATACCCCAGTGCTTTTTTTGTAAAAAAAAAAAAAGGTGCCGGAACTCACGTCGCCGCCAGCAGTAAGCACTCAGCGTGCGACCACACACACCAATCCCAAGCCGAGCAGCATCCCAAGCCGGGCAGCGCGGACACAAAAGCAGCCCGCAGGCACTATGTTAATGATGTTTGCTGCTGACCTGCTACGCTGACAGGCGATTCAAAATCACTTCGTAAAATCCATTGGAAAAATGGGTGCTGGAATGCCGTTCCGGTGCATTCTATGACAAAAAAAGTCCTGCCTATACCTATATGTGTATGTGTGTGTGGTTAAAATGTATGTTTCTTTAAAGAGAACAGGGGAAGTCTTTACAGTCTGATAAGCCTAAAAACAGGTCAAGTTATAAACTACTTCCTAAGGGCCTAATTCCAGATATGTTTATATAGGGCAAGTCCTAAAACTTTCAGCATTCCCAAACAAAATGGGATGTACCTAAGATAAAACCCTAAAACTAGTTAGCTGCTGACAGAATTGTGGCAATGGAATCTGTGTTGCCTAAAAATACTACTCAAACCAGAAAATACCATTATTATTTCGTTCATTAATGGGTCCCCGAATTCCACCACCGTTTACGATGCACATTGAAACGTGATTCCACTCATTATCATCTGGATGTCTCAGATTATTGTAAACCTAAAGTGTTCAAAAAGAAAATAATGTCTATCATTTTTAGCCTTTGTTTTATTTAGCTCCTAAAACAAGTCAGTATAGCAATGAACCTCTTGCCCAGTAAAAGCAACACTGAACAGCCATAAGCACGTTGAAGCATTTTCTGGAATCCCAAACGTATGTGCAAGAGAGCTGCATTCCAGTGCTAGGTGAGGCCAAAACACCCAAAATGCAAGAATATTTTAAAGTAAAATTATAGCCAATAAGTAAAATCTAGGTGCAGTGTTTTAATCTTCTTTAAACCTGCACAATGGGGAAAATGTGCAAAAGCTGTGAATCCACCAAAACAACCAGTGGTCAGGGGAAAAGGATCCATGGCACTCCAGAAGACTCAGTAGGGATCATCAGCTGAAGGTTCTGAATTACACCACGCAGGTAAGTTGAAGTCCCACTGTTAAGGTGAAGAATCCTGATAATTCAGGCATGAGGTCCTGTACTTTGTAAAAGTGTGAGAGTTCAGCCTCTCCTGGAATTGCATTCACTAAGTTTTGGCTCAGCAGCAACCAGTTCTGTGAGTTCATTGTAGAACTGGGCTGTGCCCAGCAATGAACCACCCGCACTTACTTGCGACCTCCCGAGCTCACCCTTCCTCACTCTCGCCACCACTGCAGCAGTTCTGTGAAAAGGATCTTTTTTCTTGTGGGTTAAAAAGGCTCAAATCCACAGATAGGCTATAATATCATTCTTAGAACTAACCTAAAAGGATTGCCCAACGGTGGATTGGGGAGCAGGTTTTTTCCCCTCAAGAGCAGCACAACTGTTTCTGTTTGTTTTAGATGTGCCTTGAATAATAATAAAGCAACTGACAAAAGTTGGTGCCAATCCACACTCAGGCTGCCCCTGTCAAGTGAAAAAGTGTCAAGCCTGCCTAAACACTGGGAAGGGGAGGGGGCGTTCTGGTACCTAAACTTTCCTTCTAGTGGCTCTTCAGGGAATCTCCCTCGTCCAGCATCATTATTCACCTCATTCAGCAGGAGGGTCGCCTCTCCGTTGCACATTTGTCGTGCGGAGGAGGGGTCGTGTAACTCTGCTTTCACCAGCCCGGTCACATGTATCTAAATCTAGATCCGATGCACCATGTGCATGTACGTTTCTGTGTATTTTTTTCTGTTGGTGGTACCCATGTAGAACTACTGAAATTTATTTAAAGTTTGCCAATGGTAGCAAAAATAAAGCATGTCTCTGAGCATATGCAGAAAGCTTTTCTTTCACTACTGAGCAATTACAGCCTTCCCTACTTAGTGGTTAGGAGTGCTGAACTGGGACTAGATCTGGGTTCTTGTCCCCACTCAGCCACAAAGACCACTGGGTGACTGGACTAGTCACTGCCTCTCGGCCTAACCTACCTCACAGGGTGGTTGTTGTGAGGATAAAGTGCAGAGAACCATGTACATTGCCTTGGGTTCCTCGCAAGAGGCAGAATGGTAGGATTTAGATAAAATGCAAGAACCATACATTCTGTTCCACTCCACACAGCAACCTCCCCTCTTTTTTCCATCCTCCAATAAGGCTTCATAAAAATAGGTGTTTTGTTGTTTTGCAGCTCTCTTATAACCTATTTGTTTTGGGGAAGCTTTCCAGGTTTCTTCCTCCCCATAATGTGTGCTAAGACCTCTCCTGTATCCAGCCAAGCACTCTGTTTGCAGAACTACATTATGGGGAAAAGACCTCTACAGATGAACCAAATGGCTTTCCCTCCCTCATGAAGTTAGGTCTGTGCAAAAAAGGAAAACACACATGAAAAAATAGGCCTATGACTGGATTGTAAGGGCAGCCAGCTCTGCAGAGTAGAATGCACGAAAGTTTCTGGTGCCTGCGGTACCATTCGCACAACTCAAGGCAGAGTTAACATGCTGAAGGTCAGGCTACAAACCATCCCACAGAAGTATCCTAGACTACAGTTCTGAGTGCACCTCCCGAGAGTGAGCCCTGCTGAACACCATGTGAATTATTTCCGAGAACATACGTATGTGTAGGCGTATACAGGTGCCACAGCCACCACCTGGCCCTGACCAAGTAACTCCTGTGTTGATTAAAGCTTGCTGTGCCACTGCTGGATAACTGCCAGGTCCTTCCTGAGGAAGAGAACTTTAGAGGGACTTGGGAAGGATGTCCAAGGCTCAAGGAAAGGTGTGAGGTGAAGTGGCTGGGACCTCCCTCCCTCCCTCCCTCCTTTCCAAACTGTAAAGCTTCCTGCTGGCTGTACCAGGAGGCAGTTGACACAGCCTCCCAGACAACTCCTGGAACATCAGGCCACATCATCCTAACCTTCCTCTAGCTGCTGACAGCTATAAAGCAGAAGTTAAAGCTGAGGATATTTGCTTAGGCTGCACCCCTTGCAGTGCTCAAGCCAGGGAGTTTCTGCATGAACAAAACCTTCCGGTATGGGGCCATATGATCAGGTGCTGTGCATGATTTCAGTATTTCACAGGACGCTCCTTTGCCATTCGTTTTCCTTTAAACTTCCCTTGCAAACAACCTCCTGGCAATAGGGAAGTACGCAGCAAAAAGGAATCTATGATAAAAACACCCAATTTGCATGAAACACTGAAGTTTTTACATGGAAAACTCAGAATAGGGAAAACTTCATGTGCATTTATAGAAGTCTCTCTCTCTCTCTCTCTCTCTCTCTCTCTCTCTCTCTCTGTGTGTGTGTGTGTGTGTGTGTGTAGGCAGGTATCGCTACAGTCTAGGGATCTAATCTACAAATACCTCTTCACCTATTTGACTTGTTACATTTGTATACTGGGTTTTCACATTAGATATTATAGGTACATAAAGAGGGGGGCAGCAGAAATGTAGTGGGGCATAGACTGTGGAAGGAAAAGTGCCCATGCTTCCCAGAGTTTAAGAAGCAGTTGCCTTTATGCTACACTTCCTGCAGTTAACAAGTCCTAGTTGGTTTTAATCTAGACAAGAACTCCCTAGAATGACTTTCTAGGATTGATATGAAGATAAAAGTGTTTCAGAATTGGAGAAAAAAGAGCCTTGTACATTGTTTTAATTTCTCTGGAAGAAAAGTGTATAAGTACAAGTCATAAATAAGTTGTCTTTAGCATGAATTCTTAAACTCGTGCAAAATTTGTTACAATGGAATGTGATTCTATTCCATGAAATTGCAATGCACATGAGCAAGTATTTGGCAAAGTAACCATGTGCTCTTTCTCTTTGCCATTCTCCTTTTGATTGATATTCATTATTTATAGAGTGTCGTAATTTGCAGAACAAATTAGGAATGATTTCAGGAGCATCATCTGAAAATGTTCTTTCTTACCCCAAATAAAGGAGATAGCAGAAGCAAGAGCAATATAGGATGAATAACAGGTGCTCAAAGCCACAAGCTTCTGTGAAATGTAAAGGCCTGGGCAACTGTACACTCCTTAGCATCTAAACATGGGTGTTTGCCCAGTATTTTTTGCAAGTTATGAAATTTAGGTGAGCAAGGTGAAATGGAAGACTTGCATTACAAATCATACCAAACCACTGCAAATTAGAGTAAATGGAAGGAGCAAATCTGAAGAGATTTCCTTTGAAACCTCTGAAGAGAAGCATGAAGGAGAGGAAGCATTCCACATCTTGCACAGCTTTGACATGCCCATGGAATCTGGAGCATGACCATCCCTTCTGATGGTTGTCCAGGGAGCTGCTGAATCTAAGCTTTTGTTGGATTTGGACCTGATGCTGCAACCTTAAATGAACTTAATAGGGGAGGAGAATGAAAGCTGCAAACAGCACAAGTTACTTTGCCACTTAGTAACAGTAGAATTTTCTTCTGAGTAAGGATGTTTATGATTGCTCTGTCATGTTTAGTTTTCCCATTAAGCTGAGTAGAAGTATGTGCAAACATCTCTTGAAAACACAGTGCTATAAACACATACAGGCAAGCAGATAATGCATTGCAATTTGACAGAGCAGCATTATTAACTCCCTTGAGAGCCATTCAAATCAGCTCTTATCTTTCTCTCTTCAGTCAGTTTGTTTACTTTTAGCTTTAGAATGGATTTTGCCTCTATTTAAACAAGCAAGTGCAGTTAATTCACTTTGTTAATTCACTGTCATCCGTAGTCAATTGTTAATTGATGGATCTAAGTAAAATGGAATCTAGTCAAGTGACTTCCCATGGAGAGCACTTTAAATACAGATAGTCTCCCAGGATAGGGTGATAAAGGATATCCGTAAATACCATTAATTAATCAATTAATCGAGAGGGAAATAGGATGGTGTATATCTTACTATTTCTCTGTATAGAAAAAATACAAGTTAACTTTTGAAATACATCATCTTGTCCATACTATTTCTCCATCTCATCCCCTAGTGTGGACTGGCAGTCATTGCTACACAGACCACACCTTCCATGCCTTTCGGAGTTAATCTTCATCTAAAATAAAACCTGTACATCTTCATGCTGATGTATGGCCTCTTCCTTGTCTTTTTCCCCTTCTCTTTTTTGTGACTTCGCTGTCAGAACTCAGGTCACAAATGCCTCGAGGTAGGGACATTATTGCTTCAGACCATCTTGTACAGTGATGGTACTAAGTAATTGCAATATCAATCCAGTGAGGTTGCAATTTTTTATTTACACCATGAATCAAATTGATGTCAAGGATCTGCTACTAGTTGGAAAGCATGTGACGCTGCCCATCTCTTATTTCATTCTACAAACTAATCTTGTAAAAAGAGAAAAGCAAGAATTGTCCTTTTGAGCAAGGCATGGACAAATGCATCTTTAAGCATCAGTCCTGTGGGGACAAATGGGAAGAGAAAGATGACCCCATAATGCTGCCTTGAGCTTATTGGAGGAAAGGGAAGAGATGCACTAATAAGACCAAAAATAATAACCCTCCAGAGTACAGGCAGTCCCAGGTTGTAAGCATCCACATTAACGGACATTCGTACTTATGAATAAACTGCCATAAAGCCTATTAATTAAAAAAATGAGTTAAAGACAATACATGTGAGAGTTAGTTGGTTATACGCATGAAAATATATATATGCCCGCCCGCCCGCCCCTTGAGATCAGCGGGAGAGGCCCTTCTCCGGGAACCCTCCGTGAAGGATATTAGGAGGGTAAGTACTTGGAGGAGGGCTTTCTCTGTGGTGGCGCCCAATCTATGGAATGCGCTCCCTGGAGAGGTCCGCCTGGCGCCGTCATTATTTGTTTTTCAGCGCCAGGCAAAGACCTTTTTATTTAAGCGTTATTTTAATTGTTAATATTATTTATTTTATTCTTTGGTCGGGTCAACTCAAATTATATTGTTTTTATATTGTGATTATTTATTTATTGTGAGCCGCCCCGAGGCGTCGGTGAATGGGGCGGCATAGAAGCTTCATAAATAAATAAATAAATAATGTTCTGTGGCAGTGGTTGATCGTTGGAGCAACTGTACCCAAGCCAGTGTGTTTTGGCAATTAACGTTGCCTTCCATAACTTAGATTTTCTTAAGTATTTGCCCTTGTGACCATGCCTATGTGTATACTAAGACAAACATTTGGCTTACTCATACAAAATACGACCCATGCATACGTGATCCAACTTACATACGAATTCGACTGAAAGGAACAGAACTCATTTGTAATGTAGTGACGGCCTCTATCTTGTTTTACCAAATAGAAGTGCCTACAGGCTCATCATTCAGGCATGTCAATAGCCTTTGCCAATCAGAAGAAAACACAACATGAAGCTCAACTGGTTGAGTTAGCAGAGGCTTCCCTGAAAAATCTACTCAGCTCCATCTCTGAGTAGGGTAAGGCCTATCCTTTCTGGAGCCATCTGGCTTGCCACTGGGGGAAAGTGTCTGATTTGATTCAAGCAACCTTTTCTTATGTTAGATTTGCTCAGAATCTCTGAAATACAGATTAATTAAATGTTGCCTCTGAACTAAATATTTTTAACTAGCCAGGCAATTTTGAAATGGTGCATCTTCAAACTGCAATATATATACATATACATACCTATATCAAACATTATTATTATTCTTACATTGCATTTATAATATCCTGCCTTTTTTCTAATGTGAGGAATAAATGTGCTAAATAGTTTAAAATGTTGCAAACAGTGAAACTCAGACTTTGGGTTCTAGCTAGCACATTGTCCTTCTCTTAAAAGAAAATAATATTTGCAAAAAAATTAATGTCTGGAATACAAATAGCCATTCATCTGTGTCAAAACCTAGTAACAGAAAATTCATTAGGTTGCCTCTTGTGCAAAACTATGGAAAAAGTCATGCAGCTCTTCTGTGAGCAGCAAAGTAAGACTAGATCCAAATACAGGTGTTTGTTTTTACTTTAGTGCCTCCTTTTATGGAAGTAGAAGCATAAGCACCATGTCATCATAGCACAATAGCCAGAAACTTCTGTTCGAACATTTGTGGAATAGCATTAACAGCCATTTTCCTTCTGCTCTGGCTCCAGTCTACAGTAAAGGACATGAATGCTTTTAAGCCTGAGTCACGCATGAACTTTGAGGGCCATTCGCAAAAGGAAATCTAATAATTTTCTGAAGATCCAATCAGGTCAGTCCTTAAGGTACACACTCATCCATGAATTTCTGTCACAGCGATAAATGAATACGGAAACATTTATATTAAGAGAGTGGGTGTCTGCCACTAAGACATCCACGTATAGAGATGGTTCTTTGCATACAATGCAAAAGCCATCAAGAAGTGAGTCTGTCATCTGTAACCAAGATCATCATTTTCTTACCACGGCATCACAGATCAAATTTCCCATGTTGCACTCTCGAAAGCGGCATGCTTGGCTTGTACCATTTAGATACACGATAGTTTTTCCTATTTCCTGGGAAGAAAAGTTCTGTAGCTGAAGCTTCATGCTTTCTACTTCTGCTTTCACTGCTGGATCTAAAACACAAGATGATTGACACGAATGGCAACTTTGTTTATCCATTCTGCAGCACTGAGGTAGATTCCCTTCGTCTTTGTGATTCCTTTTCAACCACCATCATGCCTAGATTAGGAATTGCCTCACTCTCAGTACCACAAGAACTTTGCTTTCTTTCCATAGGTTTTTCTTCTCTCTGCTTTCCTCAAATGACTCTCCCTTTGTTCCTCTCTCTAGAAATCCCATTTTTTACTCATCTTCTTCTAAAGAAAACCTACAACAAAAAAATTCTACACACTTTCCTATTACCCCTCCTTCTAGGAGCCCCATCCAGTGCTTCTTGGGAACAGGAAGGGTGGGGGCTTCCACCAAAAATGAATGCTTGACTATAGAAGCTTCCTGACAATAGGCTCTGCACAGAGGTAAAAGCCCAGATATGTGAATGCACAGATGAGCACTCGAAGAACAACAGTTACAGGTAAGCAACCTGCCTTTTCCTTTACACACACTCACTTTCCCAAACAGTGCCAACAAAGTGAACAAGCAAGGCTTCCAAAGAATCAGAATCAGTCCCATAAGGGTTGTTTAGGGGGAGGGTCGTTTTGTGTTTCTTGAACAGCAACTTTCCCCCTCAACATGGAATACAGTAAACTGATGTAGGGAATAAGGGACTTTCAAAACCAGTTTGTGTTATGGCAGAAAAGGTCCCACTAGATGTGCCCAAAACCTTTGATTGCACTTAGAATAAGCCTTTGAAACCTGTCTGTATTAAACCAACAACTTTTCTATAAAAAGTGTAAATATGTTCCTTAAATCCAGATAAATAAGTAACTTCTAAAATTTATAAAAAGCGAGTTTATAGCAATGTCAAATTAATTTGCCAAATCAGAGTAAAGTAGGAGTAACATAGGAATAGCAAGAGTGCATGCTAAAATCCATGTTCATATTATGATTAGATGGCCTTACAAGCAACAAATTTCAAATCCTGTACCTTCTGGGATGCTGCTATCTAGTAGGATGGGGTTTCCAGCTGCTCTAACTACATTTCCTTTATCATCAAACGTAATGTTCAAATAGCCAAGATATTTTCCAAAAGCATAAGCTTGAACAACAGGCACTTGCCGCCCATCATCTGACTCCACCATGAATGGATAATCACCAGCAGGTACTTCATCTGAAGGTGGGGCACCTGTGAAAAAACAAAGCCAAAGCAAAAAAATCAGTGGAGTGCAAATGGACTTTCCCCTTCTTACCTTTCAAAGTACAAGCAGAATGCAGAATATTGACATGTGCCTCAATTGATAGAGATCAGTGTAAGCAACTTCTTGATATAGCAGTGTAGAGGGCAAGAGATGGAAGGACGCTGCATCCCTTGACACCCACAGCCAGCTATTCTGGAGGGAAATCACCTCCTTGTCCCCTTCTTTCTCATGTCTTTCCTTACTGGAAGCATCATTTTAAAATGAAGTCATATCCGAAAGGTATGTGCAGCTGGAGCGTCTTTCAAAGTCTTTCCTGCAGCTTCTCTTTGGACCGAAAAGGGCAAACTGGTTTTAAATCTGTTAAGCCGTGTGAGTGAAAGCTCTTACAAGTTCAAAATTATGAGTCAGTAAAAATCTTTTCTACATATCTATTTATTTAGAATAGTTTAAGATTATCTCACTACTCAATAAGTGCTTAACAGAATGTGCAATACAGTGCAAGTGTTAAAATACATTAAAATTCAAAATCCTAAAACAAACCTGGGGATTAATGATAAAAGCAAAGTGGAATTAACTGCTTAGAACTCAGCAAAAGAATTTTGACTGGGTTCAGATTCTATGATAATTTACATTTGAAGGCTGTGTGAAGGTTGTTGTTGAACCAAAGGTGGTTGCTGAACATGATCTATTGTGTTGTCTGAACCCAACTGAGATAACAAACTATGGTGAAAAACCACAGCACATCACTGGATTCAGACAGCACAATAGGTTGCATATGGATTGAGCGTTACTGTGAGTTGTTGTTGAAATGTGGGTTCTCATGTTGTCTGAACCCAGCAGAGATGACTACATATAGTTCACATCCCGGCAACAAGTCATGGGTCCTGTTCATGGTTACAACCATGTCTTATGAGTGCAGCTGGGTTCAGAGAACCCAACAACTCACATTTCAACAACAACCCATAGTTGAACAATAGCCCACACCCAAGCCCTAAGTGTCAGTCTAAGAGGCTAAGGAGGAAATATCCCTGGGATGCTGGCCAGCTGGCTGCCCCCTCTGGATCAGGTAGGAAATGCCTCATGCATGGCCAGTGAGGCTGAGAAAAACCAGGAGTCGCTGCTGATGGTAGGGGTAAGCAACCACCTACTTGTCCTTGCACACACACGGCCTGGACAGGTGGCTGCCGTCAATGCGATTCCTAAATCTAAAATTCTTCCTGTGTCATGTTTTTTCTTTTAAATCTTGACAAAAGGAGAGGATTGAGCATTCTTGGCATGGGAAGGTACTCATATGCTTCATGACAGACTGCATAAATGTTAGGCAGCTGGGAAGGGCTCTTGTCAATATTTTAAACTTATGACCTTCATACTGGCTTTGCAGGTTAAAAGTTACGCTGCCTTTGTCTGCTGGTGATGATGGAATGAGTAAGCCTTACAGCTTTGGCTCCGTCCATGTTCTGCTATGGACTTACCATATTTTTCTGTGTATAAGACGATACTTTTTCTTTAAAATATTTAGCTAAAAATGGAGCGGCATCTTGTACATGGGGGGCCGAGAGGAGAACCATGGGCACGCTTGGGAGGGGAGACTGGCATGGGTGCAGGTGCGCTTGGGGGGGAGGTGTGTGCAGGCACGCTCGGGGGGGAGATTGGCGCAGGCGTGCTTTGGGGAGGCGAGTGTGGGTGCTCTTGGGGGGAGACTGGCGCATGCGCGGGGAGGCGGCAAGGTGGTGGGCATGTGCACGCAGCAGCAGCTTGCTCACTCGGAGATCGGTAAAGTGGGGGGAGTCCTATACATGGGAGCATCTTATAGACAGAAAAATACGGTACATGGTGCTGCAACACAGGCACTGACAGGTTTTGATCCAGGCAATATAGATTTCAGGGGGGAAATTGTTCTGCATCCAGCAGCCTACACATCTTAATGGAAGATATTTTACTGTGCTGTCTTCTCCTTTTTCAATTCTTCTCACTATTTGGGAATTTATAAGGATTATTATCATTCATTGTAATTTTACCTTTTTTAATTAGTTCTAAAGTCTTTTTTCCCTTTGTTAACCACCTTGGAAACCTTGGTGTAGAAGCAAAATACAAACATATTGCATTTCACTCCAGATGGTTTCCTCATTGTCACAGCCAAACCAAATGTGCAGCAAGAAGCCAAGGCACTCACAGAACAGGGACCATAAAATGCCCTTCTGGATCCTCCCCTGACAAAACTAGAAGGCAAAAAGGGGAGCAAACTCAGGTGCTGAATAAATTAAATAGTTTTAATATATCTCTTGCAAAGAATTTTCTCTCTGTCTGCTTTCTAATGTAAGGTGTTCCCCCATCCCTATTCTTTTATGCTGCAGAACTAGAGCCCACAACAAGAAAGATAATTATGTTGTGAAAAAATATTGAAAGCAAGAAATCCAAAAATGAAAAGGGAATGACTAATTTCAGAGACACCCCCATCCCCCAAACCCACTATTTCTTTTACTTTGCTTGCTAAAGGTTGTAGGTTCCTTTCAAAATCTCAGGAAGGAGCAAGGCAATAAATATTATTTCAGCCTGAAAGAATTGCCAGAGCACTGATGAGCATCCTGGAAAAATCAGCAGTACATTCATATTCCATGGCTGGCCAGCCCCTCACTACCCTGAATGGTTCTTTGTGAAAGCTGGCATTGCCTTTGCTACTTCTCTGTGCTCCTGGACGCTTCCCAAATGCATTTGTTAACAGGGCGAGAAAACTCAACATGTAGATGGCAGGGGTTACTCAACCACTGCTTGTCTTTCAAAAATCAAACTGGAATACTAACATGGGCAGAGGGGCCTGCAGTCTGTTAAGTTCTGTCAGCCAGGATCGCTGGAAATCTGTTTTCAGATTTCCATTCATCCGGGGTCACAAACTGAACACCGTGATCAAAAAACAAATGTTGTACACTAGGAAAGAGGCTCAGCTCCAAAAGCTGGAAAAGTCAAATGGGGCCCATAGGCATCTTGGAAACTCAGGGAGTCCCCAAGAATGTTTGATGGAATAGGTAACGAACTGGCCTGTGTAATTATCAGATTGAGTAGTTTAGCAGAATGTTTGCAGGTCAAGGAAGAATATTCTCAAGAAGAGAGAGCTGGAACAATAAGGTGAATAAAAATGCAGGAATTAAGGCTTTTCTGAGTACTTGCTGAGAAGGCTCAAATTACCAAGCCAGTTTTGAATCAATTTGAGAGAGCTCTCCCATAATGGTTTCTGAAGTATTTTAATAGTAAACCATTCACTTTCACAGTACTTTAACATTTCAGAAATGGGCAGGTTTCTTGTTCTTACTAAAAAACATGATCTCACAAAGTGTGTAAGTTTGATTGCCAAACAAACCTTGGTAAAAATGAAAAAGCAAAGAGAGCAGGCAGACTGTTGGCCCTGCATAAATATGAGCAGAAAAAGCCATGATTTATGTGTGATATAATTGTACAAGCCACTGGAAAAAATGTTTCCCACCCTTGGTAGGAAAAAACCAAACAGTGAGCCACTTCCTGAGGAAAACGAAAACTTTTGATAAATAAAAAATACATTTCTGACCAAAGCAAAGTTGAGATGTTAAAAGCAGCAGTTACAAAAACTGAACTTACAAGGCACAGTGTTAGTCATTTCATGATCATCTATACTGCTCAAGTATAAAGGAAAGAAATCCCATCAGTTCAGGTAAGTTATTGTTAAGGGAATGCCCTTAACATTCAACCTTAGACTTTTATCCAGATTCCAAAATGGGGACGAGAAAGAGTTCTGACGTATATTTCTTACAGAAAGTAATAGAGCATGGCTAAGCAGAAAAATGGATGTGGGTGGCACAGTGGTTTAAACTGCTGAGCTGCTGGGCTGGTAGAGTGAAAGGTCGCCGGTTCGAATCTGCACAACTGGGTGAGCGCCCATTGCTCCATCCCAGCTCCTGCCAGCCTTGCAGTTTGAAAGCATGCAGATGCAAGTAGATAAAAAGGTACCACTTCAGTGGGCAGGTAACAGCATTCTGTGCACTTTGGTGTTTAGTCATGCTGGCCACATGACCACGGAGACTGTCTGTGGACAACCGCTGGCTCCCTCGGCCAGGAAACGGAGATGAGCACCACCCCCAAGAGTCAGACATGACTGGACTTTAATGTCATGGGGAAACCTTTACCTTTAAGCAAACACGCAATTACTCCAGAACTGAATCAGGCAAATGATACATGCACTGAAGCCTACATACTGTACATATACTGATCGCCTTCACTGAATCAAAGCACAAGGAGTTAGATACTTAGCACTGCTTCATATGTGTGAAATCATGAGGAAAGGCTCCTCTTTCATTGCAGGAAGAACATACCTGTATAAAGAAATGTGTTCGTGTGTCCTCCAATCACAACATCGACCCCTTTCACCTTTTGGGCAATCCTTTTGTCCACAGTAAAACCAGAGTGGCCTAGTGCAATGATTTTGTTGACTCCCAATGTAGTAAGCTTATCTACCTGTGGCTGCAATGCCACAACTTCATCTTCAAACACTAAATCTTGCCCTAAAAATGTTAGGAGAAAAGGATATTAATATTTGCATTTTATTCAATTCTCATTCAACAAGGCTTGCTAAAGCTGAAGAATGCCCATATTTGTTATACAGTATCTATGTGCTCTATGTTAAATACTCTCACTGTGTATGAAGTTTCTTGCAAGTAACAGATGGATGTCACATTGCTACGTCATTAATTTTGCTGGCTCTGTTTTTCTTTTGAGTGTAGCATGACAAAATCATCAATTTCACTTTAGCAGACAGTGATGCAAGCATTCAATTTGGCAAAATGTCTGTTCTAAAATGTAGTTATAGTACTTATTAAATGGTGGAAGATCTCTAAAAAAATTGGTGCAGCTCAGCCTAATAAACTGGTGTAGTCATGCATGTGTAAGCAGTTTTTTGCATGGTTCATAAGATACAACAGGTGGCAGCAGCCGTGTAAATGTCTAATTCAACCCATTTGCCAGGCAGACTCCCACTATGTTTTTGAAACTGGTCAGTGGTGATGTTGTCAAGAGGTAGTTCAAGTAATTCTTAAGCTATAGGATACAGCAGCAGAATATTCCTTTCCGTACTGCACGAGTACCTTTTGCATGGCACTTAGAGTACCAGAAAAGTGAAAGCACCAGGCTAGTGAGACAAAGCGTATTGCAGTGCTGGGGCTACGAACAAATCCCACTGTTGCAGAAAGGTTTTCAGCGCTGCCCTTACACCAGAACAAACAGTCTTAAGCCCGGCCCTGTGCAGTCTGTCAGCTAAGAACTAGGCACTGGTTCTTGCCTCTAAAGAGTAACACCTGAATCCTATGAGATAGTAGCCCCATATAGTCATTCTGATTATCTTTACACAAAAGGTGGACAGCTTGTGGCCCTCCAGATGTCTGGCCTACAAATCTATGGTCCCTTACCCTTGGTTGTGCTGGCTAGGGCTGATGGGATTTGCAGACCAAAGATGTGAAGGGCCTGTCTCCTTATACGCAAGGTGTGGGGACTGGTCACCTGATTTCTTCAGGGCTCTACAATGGGTGGGAGCTTCCACCAAAAGAGGCAGCTCCATGCTGCAGAAGACCACTTTCTACAACTGGACAATGACGACGTCACAAGGGGGGGCTGCTCCCCTTCATCACATAAAGAAACTAAACACCATTACCATGACTACACAGAGCTATCAAGAAAAGAGAACCTGTATCATGGTACATGGGCTGTGTTCATGGTTGCTGTGTTTTTATCATGTGTTTTAAGGATAATAAGGAAATAAAGTTTATGAAGAAATCTACACAAGAAATTGACTTTGGGGCTATAAATGTATCTTCTTGGAGGAGGGCTTCTAGCATTTACATTTTTAAAAAATCACACAATTCCTGAGTGCTACAGACAGCAAATCTGACTTCATGATTGATCTTATAGTCATCTTTATTCTGTAGCCACAGTCCACTGGCCTTTTTGAGTACTGATCTGACACTTAGAGAAGGAGAAAAATAAGGTTTCCATAAGCAGTAGAAATTTTGTGTGAACAAAATTGATACCGCTGGATACTACAACATCCACTGATTAGCTTGCTAATGCGAGGATGACCGTGGTATCACCTAACACCTCTTTTGTGCATGGCTCAACATGAAGTAACTATTATGCTCCATATTCCTGAAATATGCCTCTCAGTTCCCTCACTGTTTACAACCCCCCCTTTCCACATTTGTACCTACACTGCCAATGCAGGATAACCCTTCATGCACTTGGTGAAGTGTATCCTGTAAAGCATAGTGAATTTATTAGTATCTAAGGTGCTATAAAACTCTTGTTTGATGCAAAAAAAAGTAGAAGATCCAACCCCCCATTCCTCAAACAATTTCAGAAACATGAAACTTTTCATTCATCTTCTACAGATCGTGGCACCACTAGGACTCTTCTTTCCTAGTGGTGTCACTAAGTAATTATATCACTTAGTTGCAATGTTAGAAGGTCTGTGGAAAATATCCATTAATTCATGAACATATTTTTGTAGCTGTTTGCTAACAAGCAATCAGTCAGTGCCTCATTATTTGTTTGTAGGATGTGTTGCAAAACTACTGCTGTTCTTCAAATGTCTTGGTCTGCATAACAGCCTGACAAACAAAGAAAAATAAAACGTTGATCATGTTGCCTGTTAATTTTTCCGCGTCCAAATAACAGTTTAAACTTAATGTGCTAAAGCTGTAATAGACAAGAACAGTATTTTTGAGAGGACTTCCTTAGCACCTTGGATAGCTGCCCTTATAAACACTGGAAAGAGTCTGTTGGTGAAGCAGCAAAGAACTAACAGCACGTTTTTAGGAAATAGGAAAAGGCTGACAAAGAAATTCTGTAATGGATGATTTTCCATTGTTTCTTCTTTAAGACTGATTGTCCAAATGCATGCTCAGCTTAATTCTGTATTCCCATCTTAGAATGAAACCCTCCACATGTCTACTCAGAAGCAGAGTCCACTGAGTTCACTGGGGCTTCATCTCAGCGCAAGACAACCCATCTTGCCAGTAAATCCTACTGAGTTCTATAGGGTGTATTTCCAGTTAAGTGAGATAGCAGACTTAGTGCATTTCATTATCCTGTGCTATCTCTTAGGCAGCAACAGTGTGCTTCCTTCCTTTCCATGACGGGATGTCTGATCTACTTGTCAAGAGAAGCTGTGATTCCTTTAAGCAAAAAGATTTAAATGTCAGGAACTGTATTTAGTTCTCTTCAGGGAAATTAGAAGTGGCTAGACATAAAACTCAACAGATACTGGATTTGATCTATACAATAAAAGCTCTTGTTTAATGCTTGCTGAGCCCTTTTAAGACTGTAAGATACATTTCAGACAAAAGCCACGATGGCATTGCATATTGCAGAAAGAAAGGAATGTGGAAATAATGAGATGGACACTCGAGTTAGTAAACAAGGGACTCCTACTGAACCCGGGATGCCACCCCAGATCTGTGTGCGCAAGTGCAAAAATACCTCTCACACCTCTGACAGCTCTCCAACCTGCCTTGTGGGTGTGTTGCTCAGCCTCTGCTAGGGTGTGGGCTGAACCTTGCCGCTTTGGGTAGGCTACTCTTGAGGAACCTCCCTGTAAGACCTCCACAGGGTGCTGCACGACTCTGAGCAGCAGAGACAGCTTGATCCCAAAGGCACACACCATGCCCTGGTCTGGGTGCTCCACAACCCACGAGCAGCAGGCCTCCAGTCTCGCAGCCTTGCTTTTGTAGCACTGTCCCCACCCGTGCCGAGGGCACATGGTCCTGCACAAAGCTCCTCCCTCCCTCCCTGCCCGCAAATGCTTCCTCCTGCCCAAAAGACAAAGGGCATCTGCAGTCTCTAATGGATTTGTTAGACAATTATTCTAAAAATCATATTCTCCTGCTATGAGGTTTCCAAATATTGCACTCTATGTTTAGTCTAGAGGTTTTTAGGAAATGTTTTTGTTAGTGTAGGATTGGAATGAAGCACAGGAATTATGGTTAAATCTACTGTTTTGCTGCTAAAAGGACGTTGTTCAACTATCAAGGGCAAACCACTACAGTTCTGTGTATATAACTGTAGCCTTTAATATGCTGGGCACTTGAGAAAATTGTATCAATAAATATGGTATAAAGAGGGGGTTAATTGGAATGCTTTGACACTTCCTGTTGGACAGCATGATACCCAAGGGCTGATTGTTGAAACATTGATTGATTGTGGCTTGTTGTTGAAACTTTGAGTTATCATGTTATCCGAACCCAACTGTGCTAACAAGCCATGGCTTTTTATTCATGAGCAACTCATGACAAGAACTCACAGTTTGTTTGTGGGTTATGAACAGTTGGTTTTTCACCTTAGTTCGTTATCTTGACAGGGCTCTCCCACACTGGAGACATTCAGAAAGAAACTGAACAGCCGTCTGAGGGGGATAGTGTAACGTGGTGTCCTGCAACAGCAGGGGCTTGGACCCCATGGCCTTCGTGGCCCTTCCATTCTACTGTTCTATGATTCTAAGAGGTAACCAATGTTTCAATAGCCCATAGTTTGTTGACAACCCATACTCAACCTTTTAAGGTAGGTTATCATGTTGTCTGAAGCCATTCTTTAACTGTTCCTCCCCATTTACTAATTCCCTACCTTTTCCAATGAAAAATAATTGACTAAGGTTGTATTGCTGAATTTATAGGTAGTAGTCTTAGTGTATTTTTCAGCTTAATCTTTATTATATTTTGACCAATACATCAATACCATCTTTAAAAAAAATGTCAGGGTTCAACTGCTGCAGGTCCAAGTTGAAATACCTGGGTTTTCACAGCTAACTTTAACATGCTAAATTGCTCAGCTTCTACCTCTTCTCCCACTTCCTGCCACAGCTGAGTCAGAGTAAAAAAAGGCACCCGAAGTTTGTAACCAAGATGCAGTGCATTCACTTAAAGTTCCACTCATCTCTGTGAAATTTACTGTCCAGCAAGCATTTCAGAATCACAGCCCAGTCTTCTTTAACCTAAGCAAAAAGCAAACACCTTGCCACCTGTATATTTTCAATCATTCTTTTACCAGGCTGTACAATAACTTCATCTGATAATTCCCCGATGCATTATACCCTAAACTATTGCAAGATTTGGGAGGAAATATTGAATACACACTATAATTTACTGGAATTATTTTTTTAAATCTTGTGTGCTAGGGCTCGTAATTGGGAATGTGCCCCAGTCACTAAACCTGAAAATACAGGACAGAATTGGTTTACTAAGGCTGCAGTTCTGCAGAATAAACCCTAAGTGGTATTGGGGGAGAGGGAGAAAGCAGAGGATCATCTGCTCTCCCTGCTCACCCCCAACAAGTTGGACTCTACAAGCAACAAGAATGCTGCTGCTGAACTTAATAATTAAGTAGGGCTATTGGTGAGATAGCCAGGCCCTAAGCCATTCAGAATTTTAAAGGCTAAAATCAACGCCTTGAGTGGAGTTTGGGAAGCAACTAGCAACCAGTACTACAGTAAAGTGGTCATGAGGGCTGCTTACCAGCCTGGCTGCAGCACTTTGCACCAACTGAAGCTTCAAGACACTCTGCGAGGTTGTCCCACATGAAGTTCATGGCCATAGACTAATCATAATGTAACCAAGGCATGGATGACTATTACCATAATTGACTGACTCTGGAATGGCCAAAGCTGGTTCAGTTTAGACAGAAGTTGTGCAAATGTGCCCCTTGTCATTGCTGACACCTGAAGGTCCAGCAACAGCACAGGATCCAGGAGCATTTCAAAGCTACAAGGTCTTTTGGGAAACATGACCCCATCCAGAGCAGTGCCAACAATGCCCAGCTGCCAAGCTGTCCACAGGATATCGTGGCCAATGGTACTCACAGCTGCTGAGAGATCCAGAGGAGCAAGTAGGGTTGACTCCCCACATCCAGTTAGAACATAACAGCACAATTACAACAGCATCCATGCTCAAAGGTCCACCTAGTTCAGCGCTCCGTACACACAGTGGCAACCCAGCGGCCCACAGGATCCTTCAACCAGGATGGGTGCAAGACCTCCTCCTGCCCAAGCTCCTCAGCAACTGGTGAAATCAGGCATGTCACCTCTGGTAAAGGAAGGAGCACATAACCCACAAGGCTTGTAGCCACTGATAGCTTCCTCCATATGAATCTCTCCAATTCCTTTTTAGAGCCATCCAGACTGGCAGCCAACACCACATTCCTTGACAGTTAGTTCAATAGTTTAACTGTGTGAAGTACTTCCTGGGGATTATCATCTATCAAGGCAACAAAAGCTGTCTCAGTCCCATACCTGGCTGAAAGTCCAACAGAAATTGATTCAGTTAATCAATATAATATGCATGCACACATCTGGAGTTGTGAGGCAAGTACCTTCACAATCAGCTTGACCAAGAACGGAACAGATGAGACTGGCCTATAATGTCCCAGATCTGTTGGAGATGGGAAAGAATTCTGTGTCTGTATTTGGGGCATGCAGGGAGTTGTAGGCCTTTTTCTGTCAAAGTATGCATAAGATTGTTCCCTAAAAGGGGGAGGGAATTTTACAGCATGCTTAGCCCAACACTTTAGATGGCAATGGACTAGATAAGTGTACAGAAATAAAATAATACTCGTAAGAAATACAATGGGCTGAGCTTTCCAGCAAACCATATGCTAGCTAGAATCTTTTGCTCTAGTTCTGTGGGGAAAAAGGGCGTTTTCTTCTAGCTCACAATAAATGCTGAATGTTTAACCTGATGTTTTGCAGTTGTACAGTTGCAGAAAATGATGAGTCAGAGTTTGGGCAAGGTGTTCCTTTGGCCAGCGATTATTGATTTTAAAGGCTCCAGTTATGCAACCCAGACCTGGTAGTTATTTTCATCTAGCTACGACTGTCTTATCTGCATGATACAGTGAACTGCATCTATGGATTTTAGGGTGTCCATGTCAGCAATAGGTCAGCTTTAGTAGGTGAAGTGCCACAGAGCAAGGCCTGCCAGTTCCACAGAATATATGTGTCAGTCTTAGGCTATTGCCTTCAGTCATTGCTGGAAAATGATTGCCAAAAATGAGGGATAAAAGTTAAATAATAAATAGAAAAGAAACAGAACTACATGAAATGAGACCAGAAGGAAAGTGCCAAGATTTGGAGAAAAATCCATCCTCAGCTGATGAAAGTAATCCCCACTCTTTCTAAATGTTGTCAGAAGCAAGGTGATTGGTCTGTTATCACATATCAGCAGAATATAAACTTTTCCTTCATGGCATAAATTAACAGCACGATTCTACATTTGTTCTCTTGGAGCTAGTGGGGCTCACTCCCAGTGATGACCTGTAGCGTTGCAGATGATAAAGACTTCAATATGCCATAAACTCTATCTAGGTCAGACATGCTGGAATGGAAATTGTGACTTCAGAACTGCACATAGAACAAGAGAGAAATTAATTGGTGGAGGACCAATCATATGCTCAAGAACTGCATTCCTTTCTCCGGACTTCAGGACTTCTCGGGACTTTCCTTTTTTGGTTATTTTCATTGATATCCCCGTAACTATTTACCTTAACTTGATCCCCTCTGCTATTAGTCATCATCCGGTTCCTACCACCCAGTGAATTGCCACTCTCTCCCTCCACCTAAATCTATGCCACCCCCACCCAGTACGTATCACAAACTCTTTTGGCTAGAAGTGCATCACACTCTTGTGCTGTACAATTCCTGGGACATAGCTGATGCTGATCCTTTTCTTTTCCTTTGAGCGCTATGTTATATCATGGCAATGTAGCCATTCTACCAGAAACTTTATAAAAGCAAATAAATAAAATGTGATGAAGAATACAGAATGGAACATATAGATGCATGTATAAATGACATCAATGTAAATTAAGTATTTATTTAAAGCTTACCTGGATTCGAAAGAACTGGTGTCTCCTTTGTGGTGTAGCCAACAATTCCTATTCTTTCTGAGCCAACTTTTAAAATTTTATAAGGAAGGTAATATCCATCGATGCGTTTTGCTAATCGCTTGCTTGCTTTAATGTTTGCACTAACAACAGAACAGTTAATATTTTTGAGCAGCGGATCCAATAATCCATCCACGCCATTATCAAATTCATGATTCCCCAATGTCTATTAAAAAAAACACACACAACATGAAACACACAACAAAAATTGTGGAGGAATGTTATCTCCTATGACAGTGATAGCAAACCTTTCAGAGACCAAGTGCCCAAACTGCAACGCAAAACTCCCTTACTTATCGCAAAGTGCCAACACTACAATAAAACCTGAATACTTAGTTTTTAGTTTAGAAAAAACAACTCACAGCCAGTACAAGCATCTCTCTCTCTCTCTCTCTCTCTCTCTCTCTCTCTCTCTCTCTCTCTCTCTCTCTCTCTCTCTCTCTCTCTCTCTCTCTCTCTCTCTCTCTCTCTCCTTGGCAGCACACTGACCGGCCATCCAAAAGCTTGGATGAGTCACAGCTCGTGACATCATTACCTGGCACCGCTACTCCTTTCCGAGCATGTGCGTGGCCCGTGTGTGTGCTGTTGTCCGATGCTCAGCTGCTGGGTGATGCTGGGGCAACTTGGCTTGCGTGCCGACAGAGAGGGCTGTGGCACACGGGCCATAGGTTTGCTACCACTGTCCTATGGTTAGGAAATGTTTTTACCAATACAAACACAACGTAGAGAAATGTTCTTATCCATTGAACCACTGATTCACTTTTATGATCAGTTTATTATACTCAAATTCTTCCTCTCCAAACTCTCTAGCAGCTCTGTTTTTATTCCAGGAAACAAATCTGCTACAAAAAGTAAACCAGTTTTACCAATTTTCCAGGAAGCTGCACAGCACAAGTCACCCTATGTCTTGTAAAAACTACATAGGGTGACTTTACATACCCTATGTAAAAACCCTGTGTGTGCCTTGTTAGTCCCAGAGTTCAAGATGTGCCTGACAGCTGCATGGGCACAGCAGGAGTTTGGGGGCACTTCCTGCCCACTCTTCCCTCCTTAGTTCTCCCACTGGTTTCCCAGGATGCACTGCGGGAGCACTGAGGGGAGCCAATGGGGATGCCAGCTGCCCCAAAGCACCACAGCAGCACTCGAGGGCAACTGCATCTCTTCATTCCTGAAAGAGGCTGCTTGGCAAACTCTCTGTGCAAAGACCTGCAGTGGGAGGGAGGAGCTTTGTTCCTGTGGGCCTCCTCTGGGCAGGGCCAGAAGAATGTACCTCATCCCTTCTCCACCCTGGAGATGCTCCCTAATTTACACTGGGCATTTTTCCAATGGGAACTGCATGCTTTCCTATGCATATTAACATAATGAGCATTCGAAATTTCCTGGTTCAAGATTTCTTGGAAAACCCACATCACAGATACCAGTTAAAAGCCTGTGTGTGTTAAACAAAAAAAAAAAGAGTGGAAGATCATTCCTTTGTTATATGTTTCCAATGAAAGGAGATAACATTTTAATATTTTAGAAATAACAACTAAGCCAATTGTGACACTTTCAATAAACTACCCAGAATCTGGACTGTGCACATTCCAGGATTTTCTCTATGTTCAGAATAGACTGTTGGGAATACACATCTGTTTTTAATTTGCTCATATAATAGGGAGAATTCTTTCACGCCTTTATGCTACATTTTTCACAGCTAGGCATTTAAACCATAACTCATAATTTTGAGACTTGTTTCAGAATAGTTCCCATTAGCTTTAACTAGGAACGCCTTCCCACAAGGCATTATTGTGCAATCACCTTGCTTCGAGAACAGAACTTCACAGGGCATCTGGACAGTTCTTTCCATTTGTAACCCTCCCAAGGTTTCCTCCATCTTTCTCCTGACCACAAAAACAAACTGTTGGAAAGGAAACACAGTGTGCTAGACAATGCCTTTTGATGAGCAGCGCAGGGCTAGGAGCTGTCCAGTTTGAGACACTCTAGATTTTACCAAAACAAGCAATGTGGAGATTAAAGTTGTGTATTATGTATGTCTACAACAGAAATGAAAAGACAGTGGCTCCTATAATTCTGCAAAATGCAAATGTTCTGTAAATTTCCTGCAGATTACTTCAGGACCAAGCTCTATCCCTTCGTCAAATGATCCTTATCAGCCAACAGTATCAACAGTTCTTGGCTCTTAGTTCTATTTTTCTTGGCTCCTGGAGGGTGGAATAGATCTTGACCCCAGCCTGACAGAACAGTTCTATCAACAGTACCGATCCATGTTCCGTTTGGGGTGTAGCACCTACTGGCTTCCAGATAAAAGATTACTGGGGCAAAGTCATGTTTTTGATATGAACACCTTAGGAACAGCATTGCTGAAACAGAACAAAAGTCCACCTAGTCCAGGTCTTCCTTTCCAACAGCACCAACCAGATTATTCTGGAAACTTCTAATAGGCCAGGTCATAACAGTAAGAATCTGGCAGCCAGGTATCCTCTTGAAGTTTTTGCGGACCAGAATTCTATTCTGAAAAATTATGCAGTAACAGCAGATACATCCTTGTGATATAGCAATTAGCAGATAGCCAGCAAAAGTGGACAAAGAGCACCCTTACACTTGCAAAAAGACTTATACATCAAGCTTGAAAAGATAAATCCCCACTACATATTATTCAGTGGACTGAAGATCTTTCTGTTTTTGCCATATAAAATGGTTCAGAGGGCAACAGCTATGATCCAAGGACTGGCAACAAAGCCCTGTGAGGAAAGAAGGAAAGAACTGGGTGTGTTTAGCCTGAGGAAGAGAAGAGTCAAGGGGGATAGCACTCTACAAGTCCTTGAAAGGCTGTCAGAAAGCCAGGATCTCTTCTCAATCCTCCCAGAGTGCAGGTCACAGAGTAAGGGGCTCAAGTTTCAGGAAGCCAGGTTCCAGCTAATCGTCTGGGAAAACTGGCTGACAATGGCAATGGAACTACTTGCCTAGGGAGGCTGTGGGCTCCCCCACACTGGAGACATTCGAGATGCAGCTGGACCGCCATCAGAGAGGGGTGGCTTAACTGGGAGTCCTGTTCTGATTGGGGGTTGGACCCAATGGTCTCCTGGCCCCTTCCAACTCTACTATTCTATGATTTGAACATGCTTCCTACAACCATCAGTTTCACATGGATGCTTTCGTAGATGAGGCTGCTTATTATTAACACATATATTTGAAATGGAAGTGTTAAATACTTCTTTTTTTCCCTTTCCCTTTTCATTGTTATATAAAGCTGATGCAAAAGTTTTGTGCATTGATGTTTTCTTACTTTTTTCTCTCTCCCCTCTTTTGCAATCCTGTTCCTTTTTGTTGTACTTGCAAATACAAAGAAACAAAAAATAGATACTACTGGACTTTTTTCCTACCATGACTGATAGTCTTCCATATACCTATTCTCCATGAATTTATCTCTAATCCTTTCTTAAAGCCAAGCCCAAATGATTTATGTATTTATTTGCCTTAGAAAACACTTCAGCCACCCTACCAGACTCTCTAAGTGGTTCACAATCACAAGTTACTAATCAAGTGGAGGTCAGATCATTTGTCATCGGCAGCTGCAATTTGTAGGGCTTTTCAAAACTACACAGCTGGTGTGTAGTGGAGATCTAATCTGGATCAGGATTTTGTGGGGGTGCATATCCTGAGCCCTTTCTGCCTCACTGTGGTGCTGATCCCAATCACCACCCAGCTCTGGCTCTTTGCATTAAGGAAGAACAGCAGCATCTTATGGCACCTGAAAGACTAACATTTTTATTCTGCCATACATTTTGTGGAGCTGCCCACTTTCCCTCAGAGGTGTAAGTATCTATGCACATGCTGGGTATGGAGTGGGGGAGAAGGAAATGATGGAGTTAGAGGGAATGGAAATGCAAACCGACACGTGTTAAGGTCCATGAAAGTTTATGCCACAATAAATCTGCCACACAATGCATCATTGGTTTTGCTTCTGCGGGGAAAGAGTTCAAGCACTCCTGCGTTTCATTTTATTTATTTCATTTCTATAACCTCTGGGCAATTCAGAGAAATTACAATGCAAACCCGAAACAAAGTACTTCGATTTAAAAAAAAATCAAATTCTTTTACATAGAATATAAACGCTATTTTAAATAGATGGGGGAAAGGTTACCATGAGATGCCGTAGCCTGATAAAACAACGCGTTATGCAAGGCCCCTTCGCACGCTCGGGGATACGTGGGCACGGGAGACGCCCCGGGTCGCCATCCTCATTTCCCATCTCCCACCGACACCTGCTAAGGGCGACGACTTTTCCTTGTAAACGCCCCCAGAAGCGGGGAGGGTGACGCGCCCAGTCTGGCCTGCGGTCTTGTGGAAGCGAGCCTCGCCTGACGGGAAGGCGCCCGTCCCCTGGGCGGGCTGAACGGCCACATGCAGACGGGCCCGCGCTCTCCTCGCACGAGGAGGAAAATGTCCTCCTCCCACGAACGCCCGGGCACGGCAGTGCTGGGGGTGACTCACTAGGGCCGGGGCCCCGCATCTCTTTCCTTGGGAGCCCCGAATCCCTGGGAGGCCACACCGTGCCCGCATGTGTTTCCGTTCCTGCCGCCACCCCCAAGGCCCCCCCCCCACTTCTGAGAACAAACGCCTTCCTCTCTTACGGTCGTAAAACATTTGTATGCCGTCAGTAGCACAATAGGCGGCATACAAATGCTATAAACAAACAAACGAATAAGTGCCCTTTTATCACATAACGATGCCCTGAGGAGCCGGGGCCCTCAAAGACACGCGCGTGCGCCCTTGAGCACCTCTAACTCGACCGAGGCGCAGTTGGGCATCGCTTTGCCCCGCGGCCAGGTGCCTTCACCCCGCCTCTGTCCCTGCGCGCAGAACTTGCTGAAGCCTTTCCTGCCACGCAGCGCGCCCCGGGAGCCCCGCCGCCGCCGCGCTCACCATGGCGTCGTAGCCGAGGAGGTTCATGAAGCGCACCACCTCCCATCCCTTGAAGAAGCTGAACCAGACGGTGCCCTGGTACTGGTCGCCGGCGTCGAGCAGCAGCACGTTGCGGTGCGTGCGGCGCACCTCGCGGACCTTGGCGGCCCGGCGCGCCACGCCGCCGAAGCAGTCGCGCCCGCTGCACTTGCCCGAGTCGCGGCTGGTCTGCTCGACGCGCGCGTGCACGTCGTTGGTGTGCAGCACGGTGAGCTCGAAGAGGCCGGCGGCGGCGGCGGCGGGGAGCAGCGCCGCGCACAGCAGCAGCCGGAGCGGCGCGCCGCGGCGCCCCATCGCGCCTGCCCTCTCAGCGGGCGCCACGGAGAACGGGCGGCGGCCTGAAGGGCGCTGTGCCGCGGGGGGACGCGCCGGGCCCGGACGCCACCCCTCGAGCCCCGCCCGCGACGGCCGGTCCCCGCATCTTATCGCCCCGTCGGTGCGCGCTCCGCGGCGGGGAGCGGCCGCCTGCCTGCCCGCCCGCCCGCCCGCTTGCGAGCCAGCCCGCGCCACTCCGCCCTGCCTCGCTCGATCCTTCCTGACAGTCCCCTTGAGACACGTGGCTCTCTTCTGGGACGGACAGGCCTGGGAGGAGCGGTGAACGGACGCCTTTCCGTGCCATGCCTTCGGCGGGCGAAGGAACGCAAACCAGACGCCTTGGACTACAGCTCCCACCATTCTCAGCATGCTGGCTGGGGCTGATAAACCTTGCGGTCTGTACACTGGTTTTAAGTGTAAAGTCAACAAGGCTGCATGTGCAAGATGCTCCCCTCCTCGGTCGCTTTCGCCTGGCTGATCCTGCACCGCTAACTGCTCAGCCCAGGAGTCCCCAGCCTTTTGCATTTTGGTGCATTTTGGAATTCGGAAAACTTCTGTGGGCAGCACTGCAGAATGCCTAATCCATGCATCAGAGCTTTGACATCTACCTGTTGTATCTATAGATCTTAGGCTGCATTTTATTGAGGAAAAACTTTTCTTTAATGTTTATCGGACCCTGCAGTATCTCTTTAATACTTGCCTGATTCAGCTAAGTGCTGGAATTAATGTTTTTTTTAAACATATGTTTTGATCGTGTCCAACAGTTGCTGCTGCTTTATTTTGCCAGGAGAGGAGAAGGAGATTATTACCCAGAAACATCTTGTACTGGAACATTCTTTTATATTCACTGCTGTACATCATCGTTTAAATCATGCTTCATGGAAATAAACAAATGGTCAACATAAATGGATTCTCCATGTCCTTTTGATAGCAAAGAACTGATACTACAATATTGGAAAGAAAAGCACCCATCCCTTATAAAGCAATCGATAACCTTACAATGATTTCACTATTTGAAAGGGTGGTGCACAGATGCCACCTTCAAATGGATCTTTCTTTGGTCTGCTGTTGCTGCAGTCTGTACATAATTGCTAGAAGTTGTATGCATTTCATACAAAGCGATGTGTGTATATTAAAACATGGGAGAATTTTGTTTGAAGAAAGAGTCATGGGAAGTCCATTTGGTAGTACGGCGGATAATCCAGGTAAGTGACTGTAGGAACAAATGTGTTTGGCCTTTAAGCTGCCACGTCAGGCAGGAATGCAGCATGTGCAGGTACCATGACACCTGCAGGCATCTCCAGTGCATCCTTAAAGGAGGACCCAGTGTGGCATCCATGGGCACCCAGTTTTAATTTATTTAAAAGACCTTACGCTAGATGTATCCCTCTAATGGCCAGGTTTTCCCAATCATGGAAGCTGAGGGAGAAGCCACGTGGCTTCTTTCCCCTACCCCCATGCCAGTCACACACCCGGTGCTTTGCCTCATTCCCCTTGTGGCATGCAGCTTCCCACATCCTCTGTGCCCAGCAAGATATAGCAGAACCTTCAGGGGAGGTTTCGATGTCACCACCTCCTGCACTTTGCCAGGGAGTTACCCATGACAAGGATGATTAGGCCAATGACTTTGCACCCAGTCAAAAGTTCTGTGAGGTTGTTGAAGTTCAGAGACTCACTTGCCCTCAGATCACTCAACAGCCAGTTTGCAGCTTGCACAGCAAACATTTTCAGTGCCAGAGCTCAAAAAAGTGAAGGAGAGATTTTTCTAAGTGGCAGGGCCACTCAGTAGCTCCTTGCCAGGAAGGAACAGACCAAGCACAGTTTAGCTGACAAGGGGGTTGCGCTCATTCATGGCAGACATTCTACCCGTCCACCAATATCATCCAGAGAAGCCACGAGGAGGATGTCCAATATCACTCTTTTACGCTCATTTTCTTTCCATGTGGAGTAAGTTAAGCATTGCTGAAAACTATCATTTCCCACTTTTAAGTAAGGTCCACTGAATAAGATGGAATAAGATCTGTTTCCAAGGTCACAGACTAGGGTTGAAAGCTTCGTCATTCAAGATCAGTAATTGTCCTTTACCATCTTTTTATAAAGTGAGAGCTGGTGTTGTCAGTGAGTGTTGACAGGCGTGTTGGTGAGGGGTTGTGATTCACACCAATATTTGTGACTGTGGAACTAGTGTGCAATACTTCATTGTCATGTTTATTTTATCATGTTTATCTTTGTGAGCCGCCCTGAGGCTTTGTTGCGATGGGGGCGGCATAGAAATGTTTTAAATACATAAATAATATTTTACGCTATTGTTATCTGAACTGTTGTAAATTGCCAGCAAGCTCCAGTGGGTACATAAATAAAATAAATAATATAACAATATAAATCTTCTGGAAAAATCCTCAGATTCAGGGACTGCAAGAAAATTCTGTCATTGTCATTGTCGTTGTTATTTCATTTATATATTGTCTAATAGCAGAAACTTGGCAGATGGTTCACATTAACACTAAGAAAGGAATCTTCTTTCAGACTTCACATGACAATTTCCAGAGCTTAAGGATGATCAATCACTAAAACAAATAAGCAGCAGGAAGAACTCACAGGTTGCTGGCCGTGGAAGACTCCCAGGGAGCATCTGTGGAGCACATAAAGGTGTTCTAGTTGTGCCACTGCCCCCACGCCATGGGATCAGCTGCCCTGGGGAAGCGATCAAAACATGCTAACTGCTGCTCTGGTGGAAAAGTTTGTGTTTTTCAGATGCAGATTTGGATATGAAATTCCTGTGGTACATTGTATCCCTGAAGGATTCTAGTTGAAAAGTGGGATGCAAATCCACTGAATTTGTAACTGAACAAAGAGATGTTTAATGATACAGTGGCAGGGTTCCCTCAGCCCCAGATGTGCATCTAGCAGCTTTTGGCAATATATGTTAAGTATTTAGTCAACTAAGAAGTAACAGTTTATGTTAATACTCAGTCCAAATTGTTACATCATACAGAAACAGTGAAACCGTCTCATTCTATGATCATTTGACAAGGCAACAAAATGAAGTACACATTTCAGGGAAACTGGAAAATCTACCCTTTAGTTAAGTTGATACTCTGAGTACTTTTCCAGTAGTTTAGAAACTAATCAGTTTAGGAATAATATTGTAAGTCTGTCTCCTTTCTTAAAATCTGTTTCAGAACTGGCCCGGCAGATGTTATTGGACTACAGCTCCCATCAGCCCTAGTCAGCATGGTCAATCGTGAGGAAGCATGGGTGTTGCAGGCTAGTTGCAGTCCAGCATTGCCCTTCCTGAAGTTTACCGTGTTGCCAGTTTCCAAAATGTTACTTTATCAGAGACAGTCACTGTCCTCAGACATAAGTTTCTGAAGAGGGATCAGGATTTCTGCATTTCCGATGCTCTTCCTTCTCAAGTGGTCCCTACATCACAACCTATCCTTTTTCTTTCGCAGTAACTAATCCCCACTTCTTGGATCCAGCAAGACCCTTTAAGGCTCTGTTAACAATGAACCTCCAAACTAGTTATCTCCTTCAAACATATGCCAAAGTTTTGTGATGTCTTGTGCTGCAGAGTGTACAGATACATCAAATGCAAGTTTGGTGTTAATACATTAACCCCCCCCCCCCAAGCAAGGGTCATAACATCTCCAGGCCTCTGCCCAAGTTTTGTGGCATTTTGTGCCACAAATTGTGAGTTTTGGGCCATGGCCAAGTGTTGTATGCAAATGACATACCCAGAGGTGGGGTCTTGCTAAATATTCAGGAATCTACATTTTAGATCAGGGGTCTCAAACTCGCGGCCCATGGGCCAATTGCCAGGACAGGCAGGGCACGGGGGAGGGGCCCTGTGGCCTTCAAAGCGCTGGCGGCGCCCACCACCCCCGCGGGGGTGGAATACTTGATGCGGCCCAGCCTCACCCAGACTCTACTTCCAGCGGCCTCCAGGTAAGTTGAGTTTGAGACCCCTGTTTTATATCATCTCCAAACCTATGAAAAACCATTGTTCTAATTCTGTGCCACAAATCCTGACCTTCTTCCGGTTCTTTGCAAGAGCAAAAAGGCAGCCTGGATGAGGAAGATAATGTTTACTGTTAAATTAGATTTCTGAATTAAATGGTCCTGGGTGCTCTCAGGGGAGCTGCTCCGGTGCCTGGATCATTTTAGTTTTCCTTTCTTGCACCATGTCCATGATGACAGGTTGGCTAGCAGGCTGCAGCCCCCTGGGCTGAACTGCTCCTGTGTGGCCCTGACAACTGCTAGGAGAAAAGTCTCTGACTGGAACAGTGTGCTAAAGATGTAAGTCCCCTGAAATTTCCTTTTCACAATTTCTCCAGACCAATGGAGGATGTAGAAAATGACACCTCCCTCCCCTTGCACAAATGTACACACTTTTGCAACCCTGAGGATGCAGCTGAGGAAATGAGCAGCCCTGCAGGGACTCTGCACAAAGCTTGTAGATTTACATACATGTACATTTTTCGTCCTTTTGCCTACTGAAGGCAAAGACGTGCTGAAAAGACTTTTCCTTTATTAGCAGCTGCACAGTTTTAAGGATACTGCAGTATATTTTGCAATACTTTGAGTAAACAAACCCCTCCTCCCACTTCTAGGTTATGGCATGAGGAGAGTGCTAAGCAGTTCCATCTGGTCCAGCATTCTTATTACCCAAGGGCAAACCAGCTGCTCTCAGGATCGCTCAAGCAGGGCAACCGTGCAACAGTGTCCTTCCACCCAGGTTCTCTAGCTCCTGTTGTACAAAGAACCACATTGCCTCCATAATGGTTGCATATAACTGTCAGGGCTAGTAGCTGTTGGTAGCCTTCTCCTCAATGATTTTATCTGATTCCCTTTAAAGCCATCCAAACTGGTGGCCATCTCTGTATCCTGTGGAAGTGAATTCCATAGTTTAACTAGATAACGTGCAAAGCTTCCTTTTATCTGTCTTGACTTTCCCACCAATCACCACCATGGGATGG